ATACAAGTCCTTCTGGGAGGATGATCAAGTCTTACTCTCCAATACCAACTTGTCATTTGCTACATCAATCCAAATTTATAAACTAACACTTTGGTGGCTTGGACCTTTCCGTATTTCTATAGTGATTTTTGATGTCACATACCGCCTTGAGCTTCTACCACATATTTGAATCTATCCAGTCTTCTATGTTTTGCAACTCAAGGAATTTTATACCAAGCCAAAGTGCTTTCTGGATCGACATCAACCACCATTACTACTAATTGTACTTTGCGATCAACAAGGATATGAAGTGGATAATATTTTGGAGCATTGGTACCTTTGCTGTCGCAATGGATATCCAAAACTTTAATACAAAGTTCTTTGTAAAGATTATCCCATCCATGATACAATGTAAGAACTTATACAGAATCCCATTAATTACCAAGAGATAAATTAGACATACGATTAAGAGCAAAACAAGGACGTTTTGTATTAGTAGAGAAGAATTAATTGTAATGGGGTATACATAAAATATTTATATTATTGACACATAAAAATAGATAGTTAGAACCATGTTTGAGAAGTTATAGAATTTTTTAGAATTAGAGCTAGGTTAATGGACTATATAGGATCCACGATAGAACATTCCAGAAAGAGCTTAAGGTGGTTATTTAAGTAGGATCTACTATGAAACCTTTCTAGAAAGGTTGGAGACAATTATCATGGTAGAGTCCACCTCTAATTATCTTGGTGAGATTCACCATCAAGAGCATTGTAGAAAGTTCGAAAATAGTTGAACAAAATATAAATAAGACTAATTGAGGCCATTTGGATATTTCATCAAGTATGATTTTGGACCTTTTCTCTTAATAAAGTTTGGTTTTGCATTTCTTGTTTAATTTTGTTTTGTTCTATTTCTATTTTCTCAATTTTATCAAATGTATCTTATTTTATTTAGTTTTTTTTAGTTTTCTTTTGGTTCATTTTATTATATTTTGTAATGAGGTTTTATTTTTCAATAAATTAGAAGAGTAGTAAACTCTTGAGATAGACTAGTCTTATTTTACTATGATTGTATTGGCATTAATAATGGCCCTGGCAATAACCAATTTACCTACATTACAATCATATTATCGTATTAACTTAAAAAATTTGAGGAGAAAGATGTCGTTGATATAATTTAAAATTTGCAATAGAGTAGAGAAGAACAGTTATTATTGGAGTGAGCCTTCCTTTAGATAGCAATGAGAGTAATTATGATGGATATAGAGATATTAAACCTCAAGATATTAGTGCTCAATTTGACTTTGGTGACATCAATAAGAATGGAAGGACAAAATTTAAATGACAAAACAAAAACAAATATTTTTCAAATTAATAAAAGTTTTTATATGTCTTCATACAAAATTTCAATGTTTCTCAAGTAGTGCAATCAAAGAGAGAGATCATGCATATAAGTAAATTATAACACACATAATGTATTCAAAAGCACTATGATTTTCCTTCAAAGTCTATTAGTCCTTTGAACTAGAGGCATAATAATTGTATACCATCTTTGATTCATCATTTTGCTCTAGTATTATAATATATTTTATTATTGTAGTTTGATTAGGAAGTAAAAAATGAAAAATATTTTGATATGATTAATGTTAACTTGGTTTTATTAAGATCCTATAAATTCAACTTTTGATTTATTTTTAATAAAAGCTTTTGATAAAAACAATGAGACATGTAGCAAATTAAAGAGGTTTTTATCTTCTCTTATTTATTTTTTATATTTGTTTTCTTTGAGTTGTTTTATATAAGAGATATATGAGTACATATACACATCAAATTAAACCAAACCAAACTAAATAAATAAATAAAATAAAACAAGAAATATATATATATATATATATATATATTAAATTACAAAGCTTTACATACAAAATATAAGTAGATTAGTTAAATTTTATATTACATGTATTGAACTAGTTATAATATTTTTACAAAAATCAACTTCATTTATAGAAGTCTTATTTTAATATGTGGCAAAAATTCTTACAGCCAAAAATGAAAGTATATAAATAGGCTATATCTAAAATTTAAAATACTATCGATAGATTATGTCATCTAGTCCATCTTGTTTTTAGAACTAACAATATAAATTCACAATTTCAAGTTAATACCAAAACCAAACTATATTTTAAAATAAAAATAAAAATAAAAAGACTATTTTAGATTTTTGGACATGTTTAAATCAAAAAACTATCAACATAAAGTTCTAACCAAATTACCTATATCTCAAGGTGTTGCAAGAAGTAAGAAGAATTAATTAAAATTTTGTGTATACATGCATATAATTTTCTAACAGAAAGATTTAAATAAACTATAATAACTAGATTGAAATTTGGGATATTTCTTTTTTAAAAATTAAATTCTTTTGATATAATTTTAAACTTCTTAAGATTTTTTTTTTTAAAAAGTATTCAAAAATTGACACAATTTTTTTAAATTTAACATGAATAAACACTTTAGATGAAAATATAAGACTTGTGATTAAATTAGTTATTTTTATTTTTGGATTATAATTTATGATTTCAATATTTTAATATATTTTATTTTCATAATTTTATTCCAGAATATTAACTAACAAACATTACATTGTATGCTATGAAATGCTTATTGTGTTTTTTAATAATAGTTTCAAAAAACAAAATAAGTTCTTTTTTTGTTGCAGGAACATCCCACATTTTGAAAAGTGCGAAATATAAAGATTAAAAATGAGATTAACCCATTCATGCCAAATAAACAAATAAATGAGAAGAAGCCGATAAAGTGGATAGAAACAAGGAAAAAAGAAAAACTGAACAGAAAGGACAAGCAGAAAGACGAGACGGAAAGTAAGGAAAAGGAAAAGGAAGTTCACGAATAAAGACGAAAGAAACTCGCGGAAAGAAGAAGCACCAAAAGGACAAGACTGGAGGACTCTTCTTTTTGTCCGACTTCTTTTTGTTTTTCAATGTTTTGCTTTTTAGGGTTTTTTTTGGTTTTGTTTGTTTTTTAGTGGCGTTTTTTTTTTTCATTGCTGTGGAATTGTGGCCGCACAATCGATCGCTCTAGTACAGAGTTGGAGCTGTGGTCCCCACACGTGGAGATAAGAGATTGAGGCGCGACTGATTGAGATTCTAGAATTCGATTCTCAACCTATATGCCAGCCTTCATGCAAAATTTTAGGGCCTGCTTGCTTGCTTGCCTGCTTGCCGGCCTCCCCCTCCGAACTCCACTTTTTCAGTCCTCTCGGTCGTAGAAACCAGGTCCATTCATATGCTCTCAACTTATTCGCTTCGGTCGCCGTTCCTCGTCGTGGCCGGAGCTTTAGGTCTTTTCACCACCACAGAAAAACCACCTTCCCAGCCATTCGTCGGGCGAAGATTTGGTGGTAGGGTCTTGTCGCACCGCTTTTATCAATGCTTCGTTCCTTGGCCACAATCTCCCATTCTCTCATTCCCCCTCTCTCTCGTTTCTGTCTTGCTCGCTTCTTCTCTCGTGTGGGTGGATCTTGCGCTAGCCCGTGTAAATTTTGGTTTTGCGCCTTGGTTTTCAGTCGCTCCGACGACGGATGGCGGTGAAACACACAATTAGGGTTAGGGTTTCCCTAGCGTGACTCGTAACTTTAATCTCATGCTTACTGCGCAGTTGAATGTGAAACCATCGGATTCCGTTCGTTTTGTTTGATTCATTTGATGTTGAATATAATAAATTAAGTTAGTGCAATTCGTTATTCAATGGCTTTGTTGGAATGAGAATTCAAATAACGTTTTTCTTTTTCTTTTTCTTTTTTTTATTTCTCTCTTAAAGCTGTATAATAATGAATATAGATTATTTTGTGACTTGATTTATGGTTGTCTAAGTTATTCCCATCTAGATTGCTCAACAACTATCAAGATCTTTCTTGGTTTACGTGGTTATTTCATTCTAGCTATTGAGAACAAGCTATTGCATGGGTCTATCAATACAAGCATGAATAGACTGACAAAACTTTTGTTTGGCTACGTGAGTCACTAGTGTAATCTAATTAAGAACATTTATATTACTACAAAACACTTGTACTCATCCTTAAAATAAATAAAATAATGTCTCGACCTTTCTTGTAATTCGCATGATTAAATTTCTACTACATGTCAGTAAGCTCTACTACTACTACTACTACTCGTCACCACTTCACATTTCAATGAACAAATAAATGAATGAATAACTTCGCTACAAGGAATGTGGTCATGTCAAAAAAATATTCCCAGTTTTACCACCTTACACTTCTAAAAACCAATAAATATATATATATATATATATATATGTCAGAATGTGGTTGCAAATATTATACAAATGCACACACACATCATCGACAATTCATGTAACAAAATCCAGAGACACAATCTACACCCATTCAAAAACCATGGAAAAATTTAACCCGCATCCACATCCACATCCTTAAGTAACGCCAGAAACAACATCGGAAATTCCAAAAAATAAAGAAACAAAAAAACAAAAAAAAGCATTAATTTAAGGGGGAAAATTCCTATTTTATAAATTTAGCAGTGGATTCTCACTCCAACAGGCCAAGAGAGCGATGGATCATGAGATATTAGCCCTACGTGAGGGGACCGACAGTAAGATCAGAGAACAGACGAATCTAAACCCTAAAGCAGCGCGGGTCGAGCCCGGGCCAAAAATCACGGGTGAGGGGTCCCGTGACAGTAGGGCGAGGGTCGGTACAGTCAACCCTCGCCACGAGGGACGAAGATAGCTCCACCCTATGACGCGGTACTAGTAAACGGAGGGAGGTATGGGGCGGTCTTAGGGTAAATAGAGCATGAGACCGAGGTTTTGTAGGTAGGTCCAAGCAAGTTAAGGCTCTGGTCACCGCGTCGTCCAGTTTCTAAAGGGTGTCGTTCAGTCACCAGTTGCGGCGTTGTGAATCCAGCCAGCCCTGCCGAGAAGGCGCGGCACGGCGAGTGAATCAGAGGCCAGGTGATGATGCGGCTGATGATGCAGTCTCCGTGGAGTTGCATGCCCGCTGCCTGGCAGAGCCTCAGAAAGAGAGGGACGGTGTGAGAGAGAAAAGGGGGGAATCATTCGCGTCCCCATTACCTCACATTGTGTGCATATATACATGTTGCACTGCAGTTGATGTTTTGAGTTTGAGCGATAGCCTTGAGGAGGGTGATGACTTGTAGTGGGAAGGAAGCTCACTGAGAGAGGAGGGAAGGAGAGGAAGGAAGAAGTGTAAATTGAGAGTGCGGGATCGCAATTGAGCGAGAGCGAGACGGTAGCAGTGAGAATTGGAGTAGAAGGGTAGCGATAGCAGTGTGGGTGGGGTAGAGTTTTTGCTTCGTGGGTGAGAGAAGTGTCGGTGTTGTTTCCGCTTGGAGGTGGTGGTTCCGTTTCTCGAACTGAGTCTGTTTTCTGGTGTTAGGTGGTAAGTTAGTTAGTGAGTTAGTTTCGTGTGTGGGGAAAAAAATTAGGAGCGGAATTTCTCGTTCTTGAGAGGAGTTTGTAGACAGGACCTGGAAGATTTTAAGCGCTGTTGATCTTTTGTGTATTTTTTTGTTTTTGGTTCATTTTGGTTTATTTTTAATATTTTGGTGTTGAGCCTTTACCGTTTTTGGGTTCGAATTTTCATCAGTGTGGGAGTTTGGAGTGTGAATTCTGAGCAGTTGTAGAACGTCGCTGCGGGCTACGGTTTGAGAATAGAGTGTAGAAAGTTTTATTTCGATAGTGGGAGTGTAGAGTGTTTGCTCTTCGCCACGTGGGACTTCATAGTATGTTAACGAGAGAGGAGTAGCTAGTGTGAGGAGGATGCTAAGTTCTTTGCGAGAGAGGAGTAGCTTGTGTGAGGAGGATGTTAAGTTCTTTGGTGTTCATAATCGGTGACTGAGAGTAAAATATATACCCAGTTTTGAGATCTTCTGTGTTTAATGAATGCTTTGAAATCTGGCTCGTGTGCACTTATTTCTATGGTGTGATTCTTTGATGTGATGTTTTTTTTGGTAATGTTGTTCCGATTTTTTGAGTGCTTCTTGCAAGTGCTTTAAGAAGTCTGTTTCCTGCTGCCTTGTTTTTGTGTGTGGTCTATCATTGCTTTCGTCTTCAGTATGGCTTTAAGGGAGTTTGTTTGTCCCGACACGTTTTAAAGCTGCTTGTATGTTTGCTAATTGCATGTTTTTTTCCTGTCTCTTCTCCGTGAGTTGTCCGATGCTCTAATGAGAATCTGCTCATGCCCATCTTTGATTGAATAGTAGTATCGGAAGTGAAGGAGTCGTAGCGAGCATCCATGACCGTGAGCATGGAATTGGCGTCTTGGAAGCAGCTGCCCTCAGATTTGCAGGTCTTCACATTGGCCAAGCTGCCTCTGCGGCAATTAGTTAGCTCCCGCTGCGTGAGTAAAGAGTGGCTATCTTTCGCGACCGATGAAAACACCCTGGCTTTCTCGCGGTCATCGATAACGCCCCTCATGGCAGAACCGATGCTGGCTATGGGTTACGATGGTAAAGAATCGTTGGAATGGGCGACCTACAACTGTGAATCTAACCAGTGGTCCATCATGCCACCTTTTCCCGACATTGTTTTAGAAGCTGCTTCATCGGGTGAGAAGATAGATTACTGCTCTGCGGGTGGACTTTTGTTCTTCATGCTATCCAGTTACCACAACTACACTGAGACGAAATGCCTGGTGTACAACCCGTTGACGAAACGCTCGAGGGAGTTGCCTGTGTTTCGTAGAGAATGGGTCGTGGGGGCCTTCTCGCATCCTATCGTGGACACTCAAGCTGACACTTACAAGTTTGTGATGGGGGACCAAGAACACTGGGCATGCTACTCGTCTACTTCTGGGGTGTGGGATGAGGGTAGCATAGATGCTGTTGGATGCCTCGCAAGTGCCAACAGAGGTGTTCAATGCAAAAATCTTTTGTTTTTTGTGGCTCCTACCATGCGAGGAAAGAGTGATCTTGCAACTTACAATCCGGAGAAGAATGTATGGCTCACTACCTTCGATTACGAGCGGGCAGTTGAGGTGGGTTATCATCTTAACAATCGCGGTTACTCTGAGAACAACCGCATCTTCGAATGGGACGAGTCTCTGTTTCTGTTGACAACGCTGGATGGTCGGTTCTGTGAGCTGGATCTGGTCACCAAGGACTGGAACCTTAGGTTTGAAATGCCACGTAGACTTTTAGGAGAATTCGAAAAGATCCAGAATTGCATCGCAAGTGGCAACAGGTTATTTGTTGTAGGCAGTGCCAAATCACCCAGATACACCTCGCTAATTTTACTGTACTTGAAGGATCAGAACTCGTGGAGAAAACTTAAGCCATGTCCATGTGAGAAGTCATACGCTCAATCCTTTCTCTTCCAGCCGAGCTTGCTGTCTTTATAAATCTGTAACCTTATTCTTGTAATTAATCTTGATATATTTATAGATTATCTAGTTTCTTTGTAACGCTGGAAGCTATTGATACCCATTGGCGTGTACGGGTGAGACACGTAGAACTTATGCTCGACCTGGCATGATGACACAGTAACTTCAAGTTTGAGCTTCTACAGGAACACTTTGACCGATCCATTCTTTGCAAATACAGGTGCACTGATTCTGATTTGTATCCTTGTGCATGCCTTTTGCGAACTCGTTGATTTTGTTTCATACGACGCTTTACAAAGTCATGCTACTGAACTTAGAGCTGGAATAAAAACACTTGCTCTTGATGTACAGAGGTTGAACGCAGAGGTTATGATTTGATGTAGTTGTAACTTGAACCCGAATGCTCCCCATACAACCTTAATGTCCGGGCCGAGAAGAGCAGCAATGAATGGGAGGTTGCTGACGATGAGAGTCTGATTCCTAGAAAGACGATCCGAACAGCTGACTCAGTGGAAACAGTCGGTCCAAACTGAGTTTGTTTCCAACCTTTCATCGTGGGCTTGTTCGTGGGATTGGAAGATTGGATCATGCATCACTTGCATGGTCGTGATTTTCTTGACAAGGAAGAACAATTGCTTGAAAGAAGCTCATGCATGTGTTTTCAGAGATGCCCACCTGTATTACTTGTTGTACGCCTACACCATCTGACATACACCCGCTTTTTAGGGTCCTTTTAGGATGATTACATGATATCAGAATGATTGCAACATGGGAACCAGATATGGTGAACACAACCCTACCTGTATATAAAAATAGATATAAAAATAGAATCTTCTTCATTCATCTTGTACTGTTACATACTTCCCTCACCCCCAATTGCATATGTGAGTCTGTTTAAATTACAAGGACGTGTTGTGATTCCAAATGCACACTGTAGCTTGTGTTAAAAATACTGAAAAAGAAATTATATTATACATGAAAATGGCTGTTATTGTTAGAGAAAAAGTCTTCCAGTTCTTCACCACTTCTTTAATTATAAAAATTTCAGTGAACGGTGCATTGTGTTCAAATATGTTCACCAAAGCAAATATGAATGACAACAAAGTATGTTCTGCAAAGCAAGGTATCGTTCAGGTACAACAATAGGGGCTGAGTCAGATCTGTCCGCTATGTTCAAAAAAACCATTAATGTATTAACACCGGCCTCATGCAAGAATAAAAAAAGCTTTCATTTTCTTCCTAGAAATGGGTTTAAATACAATGGAAGGTAGAGGAGGAGATATGAAGAACGAAGATGAAGTTGTGACATAGTGTAAAAACACATTCTAAGAAGTGTTGGATACTTAATGTTATAAGTTTTGGACATATATTCCAATCTTTCATTATATATATATATAATTGTAATTGTATATATTAATTAAGGGATTGAAGATGTCGAATTTTCATTAACTAGTGTGGGTAAGAATTGTGTAAATATGGACTGATACATTACTTATTATTTCAGTGTTATTTAATGCAATAAACCATTTAATTCAACATATATTAATGTATGTTGCATATGAGCACATGCCTACATATGAAATAAATAAAACAATAGTACAAATAAACATTTTCTCTAATACAGAATAAGTAAGAGATCATGGACATTTTCTTGAGTTGCCTTGAAATTTTAAACTCTCAAGATTATTAAATGATGCCAGCTGTGTTGCAGAGCACACTTTCACACAAACTGTTTTATCAACAATATTATCATTTTGTATTTAAATTTTCTACATACTTTTATCTTTTTATAAAAACTAAAGTGTCTTAATACACATTTTAGAAATTTCAAAATCAAAATATGGTAGCCCCAAACTTTATAGATATATTGTAAAAAGATAAATATTATTAAATATTGGCAAAATTATAGACATATTTTCTAATTCTTATTTTTCATATTTTTACAACTAATTAAGTTTCGATGATTTTTTTTTAAAGTAGAGATTTTATTTGTAATATTAATTATAGAAACACATAATAAAATTCTATCTCAATATATATATATATATATATATATATATATATTACAGTTATGATGCTACAGTGTTTATAAACACACTATGAATTTACCAAGTAAATGGATATATATTAAAAATTATTAGCAGATTTGTAGGCATTTATTGGCCATATTGGTAATTTCTATCAAATTGTAAAATTTAAAACTAGCTAAATTAAAAATTTGTATTTTAAAAAGTACATAGCTCTAACTCTCACCATTATTATCATTTTTTGTGTGTTTTTATTGTTGATATATTTCTGTATTTCTTTAAAGAACTTGTTGCACATCTATCCACTAAAAATATTTTTTATCATCTGAAAATTACAATATATTGATCTAAGTATATACTGTATAAACTTTGGTTGTAATTTGTTTTTGATTTATTTATGTTATAATTCTTATTATTATTGATTTCTTTTTAAAATACATTTATTATAAATAATAATAATAATAATAATATTCAATTTATTGTTTTATTCTTTTTTGTTTCAATGATGAAACAATTAATTATTTATTGATGTACAGATAAATAATAAATAATAGATTTAATGACGTGGACTAGACGACGACGAAGAAGAAGTTATATCCAGCAGAGATGCGAAATTTCCAAGTCGCTTCCTCATAGATGCGGTGGTAGGGCACTTTTAAAGCAATAGTAACACGGGGACAGAACCCACGGTGAGAAGTACCTTTCCTTCCTACACCCCAGTTGACTCGCGCTATATGGACGAACGAATCTCTCACGTGCCCTTGCGTATGTTGACGACGAAGATCGTCCCTTCTCTGACGCTATCGTTGTCCCGAACGGAAATGACGGAAAATTTCGGAGATTATGGCATTCCGGCGCAGAACCCTGGAACCATTATTTCTGGGGTATGTAAGCTGAATTTTTCGTAGGATTGACCCAGACTAGAAATGGCAACAGAATCCATTTGCTTACTACTTAGAAGAAAATATTCCCGATTCGCAAGAACACACTGAGGTGGCTCCATTGAAGCCGGGAAACCTGGTCGTATGTGTTGGAGCTGATTGATGAAGAAGTTTTTTCTGGTGAAGTGTAAATATCAGGGTCCAAAAGTTCAGCTCTGGTTGCACTCGGTATTCGCCGCATGGTCCAAATTTTTACAGTCTGTAGGACTTCGAGTGGGTTTATGATCAATGCGAGGGGTTTAACACATTGTTTACAGGTTATGCTCGAGCTTCGGGCAACTTCCATTGCGATTAGTTCCCTCTTGGGTAAAAATGGAGTGGCCGTTGTGCCATTACCAGGAATATGTGGCATTGGGGCTCGTCTTATTGATCTTCTCGTTCTTTATATATATATAAATATATATATTTATCTATATATATATATATATATATATACACATGTTCTGTATGTTCTGGATGCCATGGTTAAAAATCAGATACATCTCACTTTGTTTCAATACCGTCTATTAAATGCGGACGTCTTATAATTTTTATATTGATAGGCGTAGAGTACCAGGTTTGATCAGCGAGACAGGCGTACCATGTCCAAATTCGCTCTGGTGCTTTTGTAATCCAAACACTTCATTTGTTTGCGTCTTGAAGTTCTGATTGAATACATGATATCATGGATTTTCTCGGTTTTTTAACACGAAGTCCATTCTTGAGGTACTGCACATTCCATCTCAAGTCAGTGCAGTGCAGTAATCTGTTGAGCTGGTGATGTGAGGATCTGGAAAGTTTCGACATTTTATGTGATCGCCAAAGAACCTATGCACACCGTGATAGATCCTGCTACCATATGTATATATATATATATATATATATATATATATATACACACATGTGTGTGTGTACATGTACACAAATATTCAGTTGTTAGAATCAGTTCTAGATTAAACAGAAGAAAAAGAATATGATAGGAAGTTTACGTGAGTCTTTATCTCTTATCATGTTCGAGCTGCATCTCGTTTATGAACCTCATGTTCCAACTTTTTCAGGTGGGGCAGATGACAACATGGATTAAGCTACTGGTAGTTGCTACCAAAGGTAGCTTCGTAGTTTCTCTCCTAGAGTGTCTTCACTAATAAGGAAGACACAATTGGAGATAGGTAGATCCAACATTCGGTGGAACAATCAACAAGTGATATTGGAATGTGGTGTTCCTATTCTTTCTAGTCAGTTTTTGAGTTTTAGAAATTATCAAATGGCTTCAAGTAACCGCTCGGTTCATTTCTTGTTGCTCTGAACAAGAAATTAAGCAATGTGCCATATTCGTCCGCACCTGTGACAGGTAAGAGCCTTCAGGATTCAGAATTTGCTGTGGAGAAGTTTGATAATTCCTATACTCCAACTTGGCATCATTTGTATGTGCAGGAACCAGAAGCAGATCTCGCAATCTTTTTTGATTAATTATGTGGGGCAATGTACACAAGTTGCTGGAACTAACACTTTGAATATCACGGGATCAAGAGAACTGCATGGAATGTAGTAACTGGTTATTCGAGGCTGCCGTGTGGCGTTTCAACCCCAGGAACGGTTGAAGAATGGGCACCTTAGTAAGTTTGAATGTTGGGTTCGTCGATAACATTTATGTGTGTCTTTTAAAAGTTCTCTAAACACCGTGTGTAAATTTACCAAGTTTTTCAGTCAGCCTATTTCATCCCAAGTAGCCACCATGTATAGACTGCATATGCAAGGTCTGAGGCTCCAAGCTTCAACATGAACCGTTCGTCTTTAAAGCACCAGCATTAACATGCAGATTATGTGTTCAGCCTCCAGGAAGTCTTGGACTAGCATTCTATAACTACTATCATTTGGATCGGGTCGTAACAATGTCAAAAAGATCTACATGAAAAATTCATCCGCCCTGTTCTCATTTTCATAATTCACGCCATTTCAGCTCACTGTGTGGAACACTTGTATTGGCAACCGACTTGAGTGCAAGACAATCTTGTCCGGGGGAATGTCAGCGGGCGGGACCATACTCATATAGTGGGTTACTTATATATCGATGGTGGGTACGAGAAACTAGATCAAAAAATTGTTGCTCTTCGGGGCTTCAGTGTAGAGGTTACCTAGTTTTCCCTAGATGCTGATGCTGAAATGCTTTTGGTAGCGTTGAAACCATGCGTTGAAGTTGGTAAAATCCATTTTTGGCGTTAGCATTCCAGTGTTTTTAGTTAGAGCTTAGTCGTCGACATCATATTCCTTGGTTTGATTAGTATTGTCGTGTCAACTAGAGTCACACGATTCTTAAGCCAAGTTGGGTTGTGGTTTCCTTATTCGTATTAGATTGTACAGCCATCGCTGGCGACAGCTTGAGTCAATTGTGCCTTAAATCATGATATAGAGTCATTTTTAGTGTGTTTGTGGAGCTACTTCGCACTTTAGGTCTCGCTTGATGACACAGTCAGACCAGTCCTGGGGCTTCAAGAAGTCATGTTTTGTGCTTCGAGGTTATTCCCAGCATCAGATGCTTGAATGACTACCAATTTTTGTGTCGAAATTCAAGGCGCATTTGCGGGTTTGTCATCCGCAAGATAGGCAGTATCTAAACAGTACTTCCAGCAAGGATTGCGCTTTGATATGCGATAGTCTTATTGACCTTCTTACCAACTGTTTAACTTCTACTGTGCGTGTCATGGAGAAAATATCATCCATCTTCGGAACCATACTACTGGTCGCAGAACTTGGCGTGTTTTTACACCCTTACTTTTGTTTTTGATCATTTCCTTTCAAAGAATATTTGGATGCGAGGGATTTCTGCCGTATTTGTGATTCTCCGTTGGCAATCGTTCATGCCATATCTTCTTCCATTTGTTTATGTTATCCGTTGGAAAAAAGAAGGTTTATCTCCAGATCTTTTTTTTACACCTTTCGACGGTCTTGAACGCTAGCGCAAGATGAAGTCCCGATTGCAGGCAATACTTCGAATCTTGGTCACTCAAAATCCTCTGAGGCAGTACACTTACAATACATTGATGATTTCCATTGTGAAAGTTGACCCCTTTGTGGTGCTACACTGCACTAAGGTTTGACTTGGACTTGCCCAATGTATCCTGCCTGTCTCAAGTACTAAGTGAAAAGTTCTCATCCTAAGAATTTTTTTTTACTGTTGCTTCTTCCTGGTTTCTACTGACAAAGCTTGATGACAAGTGTGTACACTTGTACTATTCATTATATCACAAATGAAGCTGACTCTGGCACCGTGCTTTCAAGCGTTCATCACTCTTGACTGTAGAAAACTCGTGCAAATCTTGTCAATAATCTCCCTCCAACGTCGCAATGGAAGTTTCTACCACCCTAACGAGATTTCCACCAAGCTCGCAATTTTCCTGTGACCGTGAAGAGTTTACTCAAAGCAGCACGGCGCATCATCCGCCGCTCAGAAATTTAGGACATGGGGTCACATGATCCATATCGCCCACTTCGCAGTGCTTCTAGAGCATATTCCTCTCCACAGAAATGACCAGCAAGGAATCTGTGCCTTGCTCGTAGCGTGACAGGGGGAGTGTTCCAGTGTAGGATGGATTCGCAAACGAGTTTCGATTAGAAGTGTGCTTGTGATCCCCTCACCCCATAATCTCAAGGTTTGAATGAAAAAGCATGGCTGGTCCAAAAGGACATCGACAATGAGGACTGTTGGTGGGAAAGCTTGAGTAGGGTTCACGCCATCGGCGTCTCTGGAGTTGCACTCCACACTGGCAGAATATAATATAGGGAGAATCATCTGGAGCTGGATATTGTTTGGACTGCGCACGCAATCTGATCTCATTTGCGTATCAACGCATTAAACAGCAACAGAGCTACGTTAGACTGCCCATTTGAAATTTAGATTTGGCTAGCTGACAGGGTTGCGTATGCCAGGATCTGGAATAAAACCACTGTAAACTGGATATGGGGGGTTGCGCTGTTACGCTTGTGAAGGGAGGCATGTGGGCGCTGCTTGATTGAGGAGGAGGAAACGACTTAGGTCGTACTATTTTGGGTCCCGCCTGGGCCATTCCCTACCTCCCCCTCGTTCCTCCTGGAACACTGAAGCAAGCGCGCTACTCGAGGCAGGAGGAGCAGTGGCAGTGGCAGAAACTCTGCAAGGGGTGTCTGAGGTACAGTGCAAAAGTACCAGATAGTGAGAAGTATGTTTGGGTGTAGGGCATTGAATACAACGGGAGGAAAAAGGTTTACTGGGTACCTAAAAGCCGGCACATCTGCATTGTTTTTGTGATAAGTAGCAGCCAACGAAGTCTCTCATCGATGGTGTGCGTGCGCCAAGCTACGGTAATCTCACGTGATGCCGATCTCCCTTTGGATTCAATTCTTGCTGGGTTGTTGTTTATTCTGATGTGGTGCTTTGAGGGAGCTAACGGTTCATGGTTGGAATGGCAGTTCGACGATTTGTTAGATATTCAAAATATCAACGCTGTTTGCCTGCCGGAGAATTACCGATTGAATGTAGGTATCACGATCCATTAGTTCTTCCGACTGTTTTTTGAGCGTCAATTGCCTTGAGAGTCTGATCACCTTACTCATCCTGTACCTCCACATCGAAGCCTGCCTTCCTTGCATGTACAAGTTTGATATGCCTTCGCTCGCTATTTCTTCAATTACAAAGGATCTTGGTTGCGGGTGTGTGGAGAATGGTTGGCTTGAGCTTGAGGAAGTTATGGATGTCTTGGGGCTTCTGTTGATTGAAATTGCTCGAAATGGAAAGACTAATTCGCAACGGGTGGGCTGGTTGGTGTAGTTCTATATAAACCACATTCTCACTTGGCCACGACTCCTCCATGTCGCAGAAGATAACAGAAAGATCGTAGGCTACGTGTTGGGAAGCTTGTAAGTCACTCATGAGTTTTATTTTTGTTGTTATTTTTATATTTTTTCGTCTTCTTTCTGTGAAACGAATCTTTGTCGTGAGAGCCGTCTCCGAGGTAGGGTTAGGACAAGATGGACATCAGATTCGCTGGTGGTCATTTGGTACTCTTTCAGGGACGAGGAATTGAGTTACTGCCACGGCCAGATCGCATCCTTGGCTGTCCTTCGAACGCACCGCAATCGTGGGTATGCGACCAAGCTCATGAGGGCTGCAGGTGAGGCATCATTTACTCTACAGTTCATTTCTGCTGAACTAATGGTAGAACAATCGCGATGAAACTTCTCACTAGCTTAGGTAGGAGGACATTTCTGTGGCATGTTGTGAGTGACCCTGATGTGTTCGGCATGCCAGAGCAAGCAATGCGAGATGTGTATGGTGCTGGAAGTGTATCTTTGCATGTGCGCAAGATGAACAATGCTGCATTTTGTCTCTACTCCAAGACGCTCGGCTACAAGTAAGAGTATTTGCATCGTTTCAAATGTTCCTTATTGTGCTGGGGGTCGTTTGCGGCGAGTTTAAGACCGCCGAAATTACATATTCCCAACCATCTTCATTGCTTTGGATGTTGGCTAGAGTCAAGATTTTCGAAACGGCATATTACCGAGATGGTGCAGACGCGTACGAGATGATTAAGCTCTTCGCAGATGAACAGGAAGGAATCCCTTCATGTAAGTCGCGAACCTCTATCTCTTAGTATCTGCTCAAAGTAAATTTGGTGGTGTGAAGTTGTTGGCCTTCTTAGATAGTACCGTCTAAGTGGACAAGTCACCTCAGCAAATGAATGGTTAGCAATCTCTTTATCAGCCTTTTGAAGCTTGCTGTTCCTTGTGACAGCATTGGATAGAAGAAATACTCTTGAATTTGAAATTGAGTGTGATCACTGCTTTTGATGGGATGATACCCCGGTGTTGCAGCTGTGAACTGGCACGATACAGACGTGTACTCTGGTGGGCAACGACCACCTGCCGAAGCGTTGGTGATCAGCTGACAGCTGACTTATTCAGGCGTTCTCTCTTCCGAGTGACTATGCCACAAAGAGAGATTGAATGCATTGAAATTGAAACTTGCCTTCCTACCCCTCTGTGACATTAGATTAATGGTAATCACGTAATACCTATCGCTTTTAAGATTCTGTTTTTTAGCGAGCAATGGAAAACTGCCGGCCGTCTCTTTTCTAGCTTTTCGGAGCTTCACTTGAGGGATGAGAGTAGACAGCAATCCGTTCTTCCGAAGGAGGCTTGTAGTGGAACTAACGGAACTCTGCTCCGGAGGCTGCGGATCCATTACCTCATGTCGGCCATCTTGCAGCAGCAACTTTTTTCTTAGAGGCATTTACTTGAAGCTTTTTCTAATTCAACTAATTATAAGGTGCATGTACCCTACTGTATCGAATATTTTTACTTTATGCATGAAAACTTGTGAACAAAGTGTGGTCGTCTCACAGCGATTAGTTTGCTATCGAAAATGTTGACATCATCAATTAGCCAAGCGTGTGCTCCAAGTATGCAAATCGTTGTCCAGCGGGCAGGTAGTCTCACTAACGGAATCCTGGGGTGTTGGAATAATTCAATTCCATCAATGCGCACGTCAACTCTGTCAAGTACAATTACTTGCCATTATCCGCAAGGATCTGTCACAATGGCAATGATGCTGTATGTTGTATAGATCATTTGGCAGAGTGTGCGATCAAATTCTTCTTGGAAAAATCTGCAGAACTTGAACATTTTTCACCCTGACAGAATATCTGTTAAGATTGTAATGCGGAGCTGGGTTTGTCCACTGCTCTCAGCGAGATACTCATATTGATCTGATCTGGCAACTGTTCAATATCACAACTGGACAACATTTGCAAAATACGCCATTTTCAATGAAGAAGTTTCTTACTGCTGTATCGCGTCGTACCATGTCCAATTTTCACTTTTACCAGGCAATAATCAGAGGGAAATTCAGTTGATTTTTTTACCTACCTTGTCCCATAACCACAATCATAAACCAATGTAACATTTTGTTTACTTTCATGTTTCTAATGAAGAAAGACAGTTTCAGTAACGCAAGAAATTCATATTTCATTCATATATTTACCCTGTGCCCGGCAGTTACACTATCAAATTGTAGAGAAAATATTTTCTGAGGTGGCAATTTTTATGAACCAACTGCAATTAGACAGCAGGGATACATTTAACTTTACAACAAGCTCTCCTTTCACAATTTTTGCCCGAAGGCATATGTTCACTCCAACAAAATTGTTCATCTATCTCAAATAGTTTCTTGTAGGAAAATAACCTCTCTGGATAAATTTGCAACTACTTGGAGTGAGCCATATCATGTTGATAACTAGTTGCAATTCGTCACCAGTACACTTATGTTACAATATCATAATCCACAAATAATGCCAAAGCAATAAGTCTGCTGTACAAGAGTATCAGATAGACATCCACGACAGTATCCTTCTGTCTAAAAGATTTCGGCAAATTGGTTTACTTACATGTGATATATCCGGATGCTTCAGAAGCTGTAAACCGAGTTGATTTTGAGAGCATAATCAGAAACTCCGGCACCCTCCCAGCCCATCCACTCTTCCCAGTCGTCCCAAGAATCATCATTTGCGCCCATGAAACCATCCAGACAGTCATCGGCCTGATTAGCGACTCCTTGCTCTTCCGCTTCCAACGCAACCTGCGGCATCAAACAATTCAAAATCGTTCCAAACCCTTGGTGCAATGTCATTCACCAATCGCAGGCTGTACATGATCGAAGGAAATGGCAGTGAAAAAAAATCTGAAATCGAGATTTGGCAGAGAAGATAGAGCCATACTATACCTTATAAGCATTGTTAACTTGTTTGAACACGAGATCGCAGTGTTCTCCCTCACACACATCAGGGTGGTACTGTAAATAGACACCCAGCCAGGCCCCGCAGTGTTCAGACGAATCGGTTGACGAGGTCAATTGACAACAACTCCAGAACATCAGACTCAACAGATCCAAAGCACGAGTGATGAAAATGTAGCAAATGCCCCACAACCTTGCAGTGCTTCAAATTATCGAGGTTAACATTCGTACAAATTCTTTATAACAGACAATCTCGAATTCTTCGCAATTCTTACACGTGGTCGCAGGGAAGTGTTCGTGCTGACCAAATCTGACTAAGCATAGACTATGTCCTGCTGCGATTCAGGCATGAATAAACCTAGCGCGTCAAAGCAATTGATTGTAGCCATTGCAGGAAACAGCCTCCAACAGACAAAGAGTTGTAGGAGGAGAGAGAGGGAGCACCTGGCGAGCCAGTTCACGGTATGCTTTCTTGATATCTGGTCTGGAGGCAGCAGCGCTGAGGCCTAGAGTTGCAAAATGCTCGCCATAGCCGCCCGCCCCGTTCAAAGCACGAATTGACGAGCCCCATCGTCCCGCTTTCTTAAGCCTCTCTTCCGGCAGCAATGTCCTCGGCGGGCTGACAGAGCTCATGCTATGAGTGACGGAGTCGGCGTGCAGGGAACTCTGAAGGATTACCCTTTCCACATTGCTGTCGGTAAAGACTCGGGTGATGCTCAGGTGGCCTCCTCGCAAAAGCTTCCTCATAACGTACCCCAATTTCAAAAACAAATTGCCGCGCAAGAATTTATAGAACACCCAATTCCTGCACTAGACTCCAAAACAATCCGGCAACCAACCGATCACAGGTTCCGCGTTCGAGATCTTGAAACACTTCACTAATCGTATAATCGCAAGCCGCTCTTCCGGAAAGTGAAGCCACCTGCAAGAAAGCTGAAATTGGGTAACGATCACATGACTGCAACCACCATTACTGTACACTCCGAACCACGATCTTTACGAGAAAAGGCTATAGATGGCCTGCAAACGCCACCCTCCGTCGCCGCACCCAAAGTTACCTTCACATTGAAAGCACAGTTCCAAGCTCTACAGTGACTGACAGGGCAAGCAAATCTGGTGCGCTTCTTCAGGTGCATGCACAGAATCTCTGTAGTGATCAATCCATGGAGGCTGCATCCCAGAAAGGCAGCGGCAGCAAGCACGCTTGGAGACGACTGGGATCAGCCGGGACCAAAATCTTATCTCATTCCAGGATTCAACTAGCCATCTCGCTTGGCTGCTGCTCTCTTGCATTGATTGATGAAGTACCATCAAGTGCCGCAGACAAGTTGCGCACTGACGTCCGGGCGATGCCGTTGTCGCATCTACAACAACTAATGCCTCACCGCATCGCATCACATCACAGATCGTGTGGGAGAGTTAAGCTGAGCGAGGGCCTCATTTAGGGTTTAGGGTTTCAGCGGGATCTGACATCGCGGGTCCAGGTGGAGAATGGGGTTCGTATTGGATCACCCCGTTCGTTGTTGACACCCCTTACAGTGATAACGGTTGAAAAAGAACAGAATGTTTGGTCATTTCACTTGGCCTCTGGTGGTGCGTGTGGCATTTTATCCCTAATTCATCATAATTATACCATCAAGATTAATTTTTATTTATTTTAAAAAAATTAATGTTATTATAGTTATGTTATTTTTAGTAATAAGAATCTTAAATCTTATTTATTTTATGAATTTTTATATTTTAAATTTAGTGATGTAATCAAATATATATATATATATATATATTTCTTTTTATATATTTATAAATCAATATTTATAATGTCAATACCTATATATGTGATTTATTTTCAATAAAATATGCTTGAATTGATAAATATGACTTTTAAAATTTTCTAGAAATATTAACTTTTTTTTGATTAAAAAATATATTTATTAGATAAGCTATTTCCAATAATTAACTTCAAATTATTATATGAAGTCTTTATTTAAATCAAATAGTATAAAATATTTTATTTTAAAGTTTTTATAAAACTTAAATCAAAGATTATGAGTAGAATATAAATGAAGGTGTTGTTATGGATATACATATTAATACTAGTATTTACTTAAATAAGATGAGTTCAATAAAAGTATATAAATTTGATAATATCTTATGGAGAAGCTTCTCAAAAGCTTCATAGATGCAAATTTGCCTTTAGAGGTATTTGTAAGTGATTGATAGGTTGAAAACTTGGCCAAAAAGTTAACAACTTGTTTTACAAGTTGGTAACATGTTGCACTTATTGGCCATATGGCACACATATTGAAAACTTGCTTTTAAATTGATATTGTTTTTTGAATTTTCTTTGTTCTTCAATTCTCTCTTTAAGTTGTCTTAAGTGATAGTAGACATCTTCTTTTTTATTATATTATAATGATAAAACAAAGTTATCTCATACTTTCATGATTATTTTTAATCATGGAATTGGATAGCTCTTGATGAAAGTAAATAAATAAGTAAGACTCTCTCAAAAAAATATGATAAAATAAAAATAGAGAAGTATATGTATTAAAAAGGGAAACAAGAATGGCTATTGCTAAAAGACAAAGAAACTAGAGACTCTTGCAATTAGAGTAGAAACAAGAAAGGAATTGATAAGAGTGAAGAAGACTTCACTCTTACCTCTATACAAACTAACTACCTAGGATCTATGTGGCGACATTCTATAGAACCTCCAAAAATGTGTTGACTTTGTAAGACACATATCTTAACTTGCAAGACAAGTTTTTATATGGATGCCACATAGTTAATTTGTTCCACAAGCTATCAATACATATGGCATGTGGTTAGCTTGTTGATCAAGTTTTTAACCTATAAATCAATTATAAATACATGTAAAGTCAAAACATCATCTAAGAAGCTTCTAAGAAGCTTTTCTAGAAAGTATTATGAAATTAATTTACTTATACATACTTTTATCTACATCTATTTATTCATATTATTTAGATAATAGTTATTGAATATATATATATATATATATATATATATATAGATCTATGAGATTACCTCCCATTCTAGAGATTAGTTCCATGAGGAGCAGTGATCACATTTTGAGGAAGTTTAAAATGTGACAAATTGTATTTGCCATAGTCTTTGATCTTTGTTATTTTTCAAGGTAGTTGGTAGGTCCTCTTAGCCATTAATAATATCCTATTCTAGGACAAAAGACTATCCTATTATTTCATCATTGTTGAAATCTTTGTAACTTCCTTCAAACAAAACATTTGTAACACTATCAAGAATTGTACCTATCTCCAATGAAATCACCAAACATAAAGAGTCTCTTCGTAGGTTGTGATACCAAACGCATTGTATCTTGCCATTTATTCAAAAAAGAACATGTCATTCTTGAAAGTCTTCATTTCTATTATGTCATCTTGAAGGCTATGATTATCGCAATGTTTCATCCAATAAGTCAACAAATGATGGCTTTGGAGTTGAATTCATTGGCCGTTGATTTTCTATTTTCTTAATGCCATAATTATACAAAAATTACAAACAAGAGTAGAAGGTAGAATGCAATCTTTTTTAAATTGTGTTTTTTTATAGTAAAGATTTGTTATCCTTCATCTTGATTTTGATGGATGTTGTTGATGAAAAGCTTTGACCTTCTCTGTTGCATTTATAAGATATTTTGTTAGTTCTCATGTGTATTCACTAATATTGTATCCACGCCAATGAATAAGATATTCAAGCCTATGTCAACGTTGCCTTCAGTTTAAAACCTCCTCTACATTGAATTTTTTTAATTATTATCCACTTCTATAAGAAGTGATGGTATGTGTCTTCTTTCAAGATATTTACTATCTTATATGGCTCTAAAAGAGACATGTGAAATATGGAATGGATTTTCATAGACTTCAATAAATATAATTAATAAGCAACTAAATTCACTTATTTACAAATAAAAAATAGTCCAAGTTTATAATAAACCAACTTTTTACAAGAGTAAATAGTTTTAATATTATGATAAAGCTATCATACCTTATTATTAATGTAGAAATGAAGTTTTTCTTTATAATAGGCATCTGCATTATTCTTTTGTTATTCTTGAGCCTCTTTTAGTCATATCTTCATTGTTATATATAGCTCAAATAAATGCTTTGCCAAATCTTTCATTATAGGATTATCAACTTTTGAAAAGTCAAAAGCATCAAGTCATGGATGATAAGCATAATTAACAAAGAAAGGTGTTTGTTGTATAGAAGAATGTATTGTGTTATTATAAACAAATTCTACCAATGGCAAAAGAATTGTTCAATCATCTTGTAGATAGTTGATGATGCACCTCAAATACTACTCCAAAATTTGATTTATATGTTCTGTTTGTCCATCAATTTGAGAATGGAGAGCCAAAGATAGTTTTATGTCTACTTTTAGAATCTTAAAAAGCATTTTCTAAAAACTCGATATAAATTGAATTTTTCTATTTGATATAATATCTTTAGATAATCTATAATAGTGATAGATGTTGTCAATGAAAAGCTTGGCTATTTTTTCACTTATGATAGTTTTTATATATAGTAAAAAATATGCCATCTTGGTGAAATAATTTACAATTATGAATATAAAGTCATAAGAACCTGAGACTAAAAGATTTGTAATAAAATCCATTGAAACAAAAGACTATGGTTGTCCTAGAATGGGTTATGATTGGAAAAGTCTATAGGATTAATGACAAAGAGTTTTTGACTTTGAAAAAATGTCATATAAGTGGACAAAGTTTTTCACTGCCTTCTACATTTGTGGCCACCAAAAATCTCTTGAATAAGTTCTAAAAACTTATTGTATCCAAAATGTCTAGACGTTGAAAAGTTATGATATGCTTGAAGAATATATAAATATATTTCTCTTTTTAGAATACATAGGCATCCTTTGAAATAGAGTAGATTGTTTTTAAACTTAAACTTTGAAGCATCATGAAACTTAGAAGAAGGATTCTTGATATCATAAACAAGAGGATCAGAGGACATATTTGATTAAATTTTTTTGGCAAGGATTGAATCAATAGTCAATGTTGATTTTATTGGTCAAAGATGAAAATACTTTGGCTTCAAGAGAATTCTTCTTTATTAATCAAAGGATGAATCTTTTTCTTTTGGTGCAAGATAAGAATGTCTAGAAAGGGCATTTGACAAATCTTGTTATTTTTTAGATCAATAAGTGATCTTAAAATGAAAACTTAACAAAGACATACTCCAAAGAGTCTGACAAAATTCAAAATAGATACTAACACAAAGTATTTAAGATTCTTATGATCAATGTAAACAATGATTAGATTAAAAGTGCTTTTTAGATTATGGTACCATTTTTGAAATAAATCCATATTTATAAGTTCTTTGTTATAAATCTCATAATTGATCTCAAGTATTAAAAATTTTCTTAAATGAAAAGCTATTAGGTGAAGTTTATTATCTATTTACATTTGTGATAATAAAATATTTAATGCAAAGTCTAATGCATCTATTTCTATAAAAAAATAGCTTAAAAAAGTTGATACAATATAAGTTTGGTGCAAAAATAAAGGTTGACTTCATTTTTTTTTATGCATACTAAATTGTATGTTCCTCGTGGATCTATTTTTATATAGATCTTAACTTGATTCAATTAATTAAAAAAATATAGATATTAAAGATAATGGATAACTATTCTTGATGGTGATTTTATTGAGCCTTCAATAATCAACACATATTTAGTTAGACAATAATCCATCTTTCTTCTTTAGAAATAAAATTAAAACTCCTATTGGAAATTTAGAATGGTGTATGAAGTTCTTGGGTAGATTTTTGTAAATATATTCTTTGAGTTCAATTAGCTTATTTTCTGATAAATTGTAAATTGGTCCAAATGGCAACTGAGCTCCTTCTTGAAGGTCAATTTAATAGTCATAGGAATGATGTTTTGGTAGAATATCCACATTCTTCTCAAATAAATCTTGAAAATCTTGATATTAGCTTAGATTTCCACTTGAAGTATTTTTTTCATTAGAAACAAGTGCAATATAGATGACATAAGATAATCCTTCTTTTATAGTATACAAAAAAGCTCTTGTACCTACAAATATAGGTTTAATTGTACTAGACTTATGACTTTCTACTTGATTAATTAAATACTTAGTTATATTTTAAAAAAGTCAAGACTACAAGAAATTAAATCTATTTTTGGATAATATTTTTTTGGCTATAATAAACTTAAAATGATTGAATTAGAAGGAGATCTAATGATATTAAAGATTATAAAGCTACTATGACCATTAATTATTACTTCTATAAGAAGGATTTCATAAGTAACATTTTTTAAAGACAATAAATGACCATTTATGAATTCTATGTCAATAGGTTTAGTTTTCTTCACTAAAAGTATGTTAAGTCTTTTAATTAATCTTT